TGATGCAGATTTTAGATGCTTAAACCACAACAGAAGAAAATTGTGCTTTGATGTGTAATAAAGGCTCTGGAATAGTCTGACCTTTTGATGTAATGAAAAGTAACCAAATTACAGGAAGGTGGCACTGGGGACTGTGGGTTTTAACCCACCAAAGTCACAGACGTGTGTCCTTGGAGAGTGCTGTCTGCAAAGCTGGTATTGCTGACCTCCTTTTCCAGAACTGCTGGGCATTCACAGGTCTCAATGAACCTGCCATCTGGTACATGGCTCTTCAGATCTAATGAATTTTCATAATTCCTTATTTCATTCATTTTCCCAAAGCAACTTGAATGACTCTGCTTTAATTTACCTGTCCTGTTGAGCAAGTAGCGTTACACACAGATATGAGCACCAGAACTTAAGTCATGTAAAGCACGTGGGGTACAGATAACTTGTATCTGTAGCCCCCCACTGGGGATTTTCCTGTGTGAATTCATTGCTGCAGATATGCTTATAATTTTTATGTACTTACTAGTGTAGCTGCCAAGTTTCTTGACTGTAAAATAATATTGCTTGTCATCACTCAAATCAACCTATCTTTTTACTTATTCAGAGTAAAATAGCCTTTAATAGTCAGCAGAATGTGCTTCCTAGGAGTTTGTACTACAGGACGGGTGAATTTTGTCCTTTGATGAATAGCCAAACCTTCAGATACAAGAGGCCTCGCATTGTTTCTGCTGATGCTGACTGGGAGAGTTGGGATGAATTCTTAATCCAGTTTTTCTAGCTAGAAAATGGGAATAATTCTAGACTGTTCTAAAGACCTTCTATTAATAAATGCATGTAGACTGGCTTATAAGCAATGTCTACTCAATCTTGAATAAATTGGTAAAATTTCAAGTAAAATGGACTGTCTTTCCAGTGTGGAACTTGTGACAGCTGCCCAAATAGTCCACATTGAATTATCCAAATGCCCTTTAAGCACACCAGTGGGAAAGGATGAGCTATAAAGCATGGCCTGAATTCTTAAAGGCTGGTGCCTGCAGGGAATTCGGAGGATTACTGAGAGCAAAAGCTCTGTCAGGACCAGCTTTACAATTTTTGTAAACTCTCTGATTCTCTTCTGTTTCAGTGGAGGTGATGTTCAGACACCAGCACTTGTAAGGGTAAAAGATTTGGGGTTTTTCCTTGTTTTTAAAACCGCTGCAGTTTGGAAGTGACTGGTGATAGAGCTGGCTTTGCTGAAGCAACAGATTGTTGGTACAAACCCTTATTTATCTCAGCATAGAGAGCCGCTGCTTATCTTCAGTTTCTACATGTTTTCAGAGTACAATTCCATGCAGGGCATCTACAGAGATTTAACTGTGGCCCACTAGTGACCTGCTCAGGCTGATGCCGAAGGAAAGACTGAATCGTGGGCTGCTGGTATTCTGTTTGCTTTCCAAGCAAAGTTCCCTGTGAAATGTGAAGAAATGAAAAGCGGAATCATAGAGCTTCAGGCGTTGCTTAAAGTGAGTCATCTTCCAGGAAAGTGAGCAGAAGTATCTCATCTGAAATGTACTGAGGCATAATGGGCGTAAAACTAGCGATTTTTGTCATTGTATTTGCAAAAGCAGCTTGGCTGCATCTCCTGTGGAAAGCTGCTTCTGAGATCTCTCTCTCTGGGTAGCCTAGAGATCAAGTCATCATCTCTCTGGGGTCCTTTCAGAATGAAATGGTGATATTTAGCTAAAATGTAGTACAGTGTCTTTATCCATGTATTCTAAACCACTGGGCGTTGTTATCTCGTGGCAGAAGAAAGGTAAACAAGGCTTGGAAAGCTGTGTTCAAAATGGTGTTGAACATGAGTAGGTATGTACTCCCTTTGTGAAAGACTTGAAAGATTCATTCTTCCAAGATCCGTTCAGCTGTGATAAGTTGATCCCATTCCCAAGCTCTTATTCAAGGATAGTTCATGACTATGACTGGCTGCTTTCAAAGTCATTTTCTGCTCGCTCAGAAGCATGGTCTCCGCCAGTTACTGTTGCCAACCTTGCCCTGAAAATCACATTGAGGAAGTAGAGGCTGTTTTCTAGTTACTGCACTGCTCTGACAAGCTGCTGCCTAGTGTTAAGATTTGGAATAGGGTGAATTTGGGTGTCTCATCCTGAGCATCTTCAAAGATGTCCTTTTCTTTCCTTACCAGTTTAGAATTATGTTAGCTTTTAACTGTTCATCTGTGGAAAAAGTGGTGTGTTTAAGACAAGCAGACAAAACCTATATATAATGGGTTTAATACAACCTATTACAATCTGCTACCTACCAAACTCAATCCATGAGCCATTTCATGATACTGAACTTCTGCGTTTCTTATTGTCCCAGCTGCCCAAATCTTCCATAAGACTTTTGTTTGTTTTCCTGTAATGCAGTAATTGAATTTGGAGGAATGGAAAAGCTGATGTTGACTCCGAGAATGGATTTCCTGTTCTCATCAAAGAACAGCAAGATTTTGGTTTTTTACTCCTTTTTTGGGGAAGCAGTTTTATTTAGTACTTCTCCTGAAACAGCACTTCTAATAACTCAAATTTGTGTCACTTACCTAGGAATGAAAGCAGCTTAAGATATTTGCAACCTTATTCCTTGAAGTACATATAAGGCTTGTGGAAAGTATTGGGATCCCACTTCAGAGACCAAAATCTCTATCTACAAGGCAGATTCAGGGTAGCCCAATACATCAGAAGCCTCACCTCCCTCTTTTACAAATGCTGATTTCCATATAAATACAGAGAACTAATAAACACTAATACATCCAAATATACCCAATTTTAGCTTCATCTGCTTGATGTAGTAAAATATTAACTCCACATGGCACATAACTCAGCTATCATTACATGAAAAAGCCATTTTGCCTGAGGCTACTGGCTGGATTTCTGAAGTTGTGGTTTGTTCTTTCTAAGTAGCTCTTACTTTTAACATCAGGGTCTAATGAGCATCTTGCTCCACTACAACTTTAAAATGCCATGGATGACTCAAACTTAAATTCTTTGGGATATCAAGAAAGCATCTGTACAGCTTAAGGCAGGAAAGTCTGAGGTACAGTTATGAAGAAATCCAGAGGGTATAATAAAGCAAGATGCATGTGCAACCACTGGATCTACAAACCCCCAAATCTGCATAATTTGCAGATGTAATCAGGGAGATAGTTTGCATGTGCAATTGCTTGTTCACCCATATAAATGCAGTGAATGGAATGCCTATTGGCCTAGGCTTTAAAATAATGTGAAGCACTGAAGCTTGCTAAGGAAGATCGTGAACTGTGGGAATGCTAAACATTATTATGTATTGTAATATAGCTTATGTATCTGTCAGGATACATGAAAAAGGAGCCAAGTGATCAGCATAATCATTAACAAAGACTCCTCTTCCTCCTCTAATGAGATCAGTTGATGGCTCCACACTGTATGTGTTAAGAATTTTAATGGAGTAATGACTATATTTAGTAATAATAATACCTACTAACTTATGATAGGTTGGAGCTGTGGAGGAAGTAGACAGCCCTCCCTGCAAGAGGCACCAAGGATAAATAGAGGGAATGTCACTTGCTGGCTTTGTTCTCTGTAAGACACTGGCAGAGCACTTGACATTCCCTTCTGCTTCTGTGCAGCAGAACACTCCTTAATAGACCATGGTGGCACCTGGAAGGTGCTGTCAGTGTCAAATGTGACTTGGCCCCAAGCAGGTTTGTTTCCCATGAGTCCAGTGAGTGTTCTTATTCATGAATGTGAAAGAAAGTATAAAGCAAGTCATGAGATAGACAAGGTCACCTAAGCTCTTCTATTCACTCAGCCAGGAATAAATAGTTTTAGCAGCTCTGTCAGTGGTGTTGTCCAAGTTCACACTGGCCCTGCTGGACTCCTGTGTGATTAACTTAGTGCAAGCACATTCCCCTTGCTGAGACACAGGGCTGATCTCTGTAGGTCTTTTGGTTACCTTTCTAACAGGCAAGAGAAGTTGGCCTCTGCCTACACAAGGCTGATGCTTAGCTACATCCTGTGTCTATTTTGGAAAACGAAGCTGCAGAAGAAGAATGTTGCTCATGTAGAGGGGGAGGGTAGGAGCTATCAGGCAATGTCCCCTCCCTTCTGCTCCCAGCTCAGCAGCCTGGTGGGGCTATAAAGAAAAAAACCTCCAACTAACCACTTTATTCTGCTCCTAGTTTGGATGGGGCAATGGCTGGGGAGAATTTATGGCTTTAGGTCTACCAGATTGGAGCTTGCTATTGAATTGGCAGCTTTCTACGTCCTGAAAGAAACAGACTAGTTGTTCTTGCTGGCAGACTAAATTTGTTCAGCTGTATCCAAAAAAAGGAATTCATGTGTATTTGCTGATTCCTGGCAGGATTTCTTCCTTGCATAAGCTTATCTCTGAGGAATAGTGGATCTGCATTTTTGTTTGCAGGGAAGTGATTTTATGTTTTTACCATGTTTTGTAAACCTTGGTATTGTGAAACATCGTTTTATCACTGTGGCAACACCAACTGCTGTTTCTCTGGAAAACTGATAAGTTAAAGATATAATTTTCCATACAACTTAGGAAACTTGCTTCTCATGTGACTTGTAAAGTAAGTATTATTTCAGTTGAAGATGCTGGATCTGTCAAGTAAGAGAAATAGCTTTCTTTTTATCCCAAGATTGTCTTCAAGTGTGATGGACTTCACTGTTCTCAGTTTCTCTTTGATTGTGCTTCAGCATTCAGAGGTGCTCTGCAGTGCCTGATGGAGGTCTCTGACTTGCAGAGTCCTAACAAAAGTCAGTGTTCCTTCTGCAGTGCTTCGTGTTACCAGTCAGTATGAAAAATATAAGTGGCTGCAGCCTGCTCTGAGGGTTTGATGTGTATAAGAGGGAATAAAGTTTAGCACTGCCTTTTCAGACCTTTAAAATGATGCCAGATCTCTCTGCTCTCTTTCAGATGATACAAAGACAGTTCATATTTCTGATGTGTGTACATATGTATATAATTTCTATTTTTTTATATTTTTTTAGGTCTGTAGACTGAGTTATTTGAGGAGAACATGAAGAGTGCTGCCAAGCCTTGGAGTCCAGTGGCAAAGCCAGGGAGTCATGGGGCTGAGAGAGGAAAATCTCTTTCCACCACCACAACAGGAATGAAGACGTCCAAGTCTTCCACATCACTCGCCTTTGAATCTCGGCTCAGCAAGGTACTAGCCAGTAGGGACTGTGCAAGCATCATTATAGCCTTGTTTCTGCTTAAAGCTTTGGATTAGTCCTGGAACTTTATTACACCTCCAAGACTTGGAGTGGGCTTGACCACTGTGCCAAGCATAGGGAAATTATAATTGTGCTGTATACTGACTAATGCACATTTCTGAAGGTATTTCACATATGATGGGGGAGACACTGTATTTGCAGAAAGGACGAGTGGGTTCCCTTACTGTATGTGAGGGAATTGCCTTAACTTTGCAGAGTGAGAAAAAGAAATAGCAAAGTTTTAGTTCAACTTATTGTTATACAGGTAAAGGAATTGAAAGAGATTTATTAATGGATCTGCAAAAGTCCTAAAAATCTGACTCTTCCTTCAAGGCAAAACCTATTAACAAAATGTACTGCTTGCAGTGGAACACATTTTATGAATTCTATCTTTCTATGTAGATATGTTTCAAAAATAGCAGAAACTTCTGTCAAAATAGTGTTTTTAAGAAAAGGGAGAAATACACCTAAACTGCTGCTGCATCTGTACCCTTGCAGCCAGCAAACAAAAATAATCTTATTGTCTAAAGCACAGACCAAGATTACCCCTGTTGAAAATAGACTGTGGGCTTCCTGGTTACAACTGTTTCCAGCACTTAAAGATTAGTAAACAATGCATAACATGGTGCAGCATTTTAATCATGAGGAGAGCTAAACTTCATTAATAGCCACAGCTTCTCAAGTGAAGGATTAATTTCATTAACTTGCATCATATTAATAGGGTATTTCAGTTTAGTGCTCCGGGCAGGTTATGTTCATCACTGGAGTATGTGCGGTATGGTTGAGGCAAGCATCTCTGAAGGGATGCTACTTAAGAGACTTAATCAGATCTGGTATAATTAATGTGTGTATGGTGTTGAATGCAGAGTATTTTCTTCCTAATTACAGCGAGTATCTTCAAATTGTTCATCATTTGCAAGTGCAACAATATCAAAGTGGTTTCTTTGAAAGAAACAGGGTAGAAAAAGGCACCATAGCCTCTGCTGTAGAAGAGGCACATTGAAGAAACTGGAGACTGCAGAAGTCTCTAAAGGTCAGGAAGTCAGATTGTTCCATTCTGCTTTTAAGAGTGAGCTGACAAAATCTCTGCCAGAAGGCAGAACATTCGCTCTCTGGTATCCTGGAGCAGATCAACACTTCAGCTATTGAACCTGATGGGCTCACAGGGTCCAGGAAACCACAGACTCTTGAGTCAGAGGAAGAGATGAAAGGGAGAAAGAATTGGAGCTGAGAGACTTCATTTTGCTTAAAGATTTTACTTTAAGAGAAGTAAATTCAGGGACTGCTAAATAGGGAGAGTGCTGCTTGGGATCTTTATTTTTAACTCAAGCAGTGGTTTCAGCTTGTGGTTCATGGACCCCCTGAGTGTCCCTGGGCAACTTCAATGGAAGTGGAGTTTGATATGTGAAAACAGTTTAGGTGTCCATTAACTGAAAAGGGTGGAAAAAAAAGCTCTAGGGAGACTCTCCAGAGCTTTGGTCTTTTAAAATGATTCAAGTATTTTCCCTGAAATTAATTACAGACTGCTGTTAGAGGTACCCAGGCTCTTAGAGAGGGACACCAATGGGAAATCAGTGACCAAAGTTCTTGAGAGAAATTGCTACTTCTGCTTGTTGAAGCAGCATAATTCCAGTGTTTCTCCTTGCATCTTATGGTCAGTGTGCTTGTATTGCATGGATTTCTTGAGTATGCACCTAGAGTAGGTTTGCTTTACCAGAAATCCCCCTCCCAAATGAACCCCTCACAGCAACAATGTCCCTTGCTTTGTCATGTACAATAAAGCTAAATAAATTACAGTGCTTTAAATGCTTTAAAAAAAACACATACTGTAACATGCCCTGGAAAGCACACAGTTCACCTTCTTCCAAGCTTATGAAACATCAGTATTAACCTTTAGAATTGTGCAGCTGATCTGTTCTGGAAACAATGCATTTTTTTGTTGGGAATGATTTCCTTGGTGGTCATGTGAACAAAGTGCTTTCCCGCAAACAGACTTCAGTTTCTCATCTGAGTCAACAGTCTCCAGTCACACACATGGCATTAGGTCCTGCCATGAGGTCATGGGTCATCTTTGCTCACTGCTTTTCAAAAAGCAAGGAGGGTAAATAGCTGAACTCATACCATGTTGAAGATAAGGCATTTCCCCTTGGTAATTGTTAAATCTTGCACTGGCTGCTCTTGCCTTTTATTATGGCAGCCTGAATTTCTCAGCTAAATGGCTTTGAGATTTTGGCTTGGTCTCTGGCATGTTCATTGGTCATGTTGGGTAACCTAGTTTCTGAAGCCATGAGGTTTGGTGGCTCCTGTTTGACAAACACAGGAAGGAACAGGCAGTTCCTTACTGTTGGAGCAGCTCAGGCACTGCTTCAGAGGATCTAAAGTCACCATTGGGCCAAAACTGTATGATCCTGAGTGGAGAACCAGCAGATCCTTTTAGGATCTTTTTACTTTATATACATTAAGGGCCAGTTATTTGCTGCTTTGACCTACTCAGTGTGCCAGGCTCTGCAACTGGCATTTACCTGCGCAGCCCCGATACATGACTAAATGCATACCAGCAAGGAAATGTGGTGAATGGTGTTCACAGCAAGATCAGAGAAGCCAGATCTACTGGCTCCTGTGTTCTCCCTGTCTTTCAGTATTTGCTTATTTGAGTGGTCTTTCCCATTCTTATTCCTCACTGTTGAAATAGTATTTATTCCTTGACCCGCTTCACAAAAATGAAAAACAAATACAAAAATATAAAGAAATACATAATGTGACTATAGAAGCAATATTCCTATTGGGCTACTTTAAGGAAATGTTCCTTTTCTGCCAGGGACTTTGCATTTTGAATGACTTAATGGAACTATTCAAGGTCTTAACCTTCTGGTTGCTTACAATCTCTGTTGCAGCTGAAGAGGGCCAGCAGTGATGACATGCTTACCAAGCCAGGGGTGACAGCAGGTCCTGGAGTCTCCAGGCTGAAGAAGACCATTACAACAGGAGCCATTTCTGAGCTTGCTGAGAGTCGCCTGAAGCCCAGTGCAGGTAGATACAAAGGATGACAGTCTAGTTATGTGAAATGTGCTGTATCACTTGGTTCACCAAGATCCTAGCAGTTTCCCTCTCCCCACCCCCTGCAGCCCATTATAACTTACCTGCTGTGACAGCATGCAGGATGAAACATGCTGTGCCCTGCAGATTGGCCTATCACTGCTAAATCTGAAGCTAAAAGGGAGGAGTTGGGGGTTCCCAGGAGCTGCCCTGCTCAGCTTCACCCTTCTACCTCTACCAGACCAGCAGAATGGTTACTGCAGAGGCAGGAGACCAAAGATCCAGCCAGAGCATCTCCACATACAGCTTGTGCTTCTAAGCTGTGGGGTGGCACTCTCTGTCCCTCAGAAGCCCCATCAGCTTGTTACCATTGGTTCCAGAGCTAAACCTGTTTCTAAAGGCAGAAACACCATCTGCATACCAAGGGCTTCTGTGCAACTGCTCTGCCTTCCTTCAGGAGCTCAGCAAACGCTTGCTTTTGTCTGCTCCCTGGTGGCATTTCCAAGGGTATTTGAGATCTTATTAAATTTGACCATGACCTCCCTATTTGTCACAGCCTCTGCAGGGTTTTGCTGTGTAACAGAACAATGTTATTAACCAAGAAGGGATTTCTGGGAAGAAAAAAAAACCAGTCTTTATATACTTTCCCCCACCCCTGAAAGAAAATGGTGCGTTTTTAAACAGCATAAATCTTCACAGTAAGCAAAAGACAAATCACATTCTGCAGCGTGATCCTCAAATTCAAGTGACTAATTGTATCCAAAAGCATTTGAGATTTACCATCAATAAGGAGGCATGATGTTGACAAAAGATGCTTGGGAGGTATAATGTGGGGAAAATAAAACCTGTACAGATGATGCAGCGTAGGATCCTGGGAATGCAGCCAGGGAAACAGCACTGCAGGGACTCCAGAATGGAATACGTATGTCAGACACAAAAATACTAGCAAATGGAATAGAGAGCCCCCTTCTGCATGTGTGTATAATAACTGGGATTGAAGGAGGGATAAGATCTATGGTGATGAGTACTTTAAATACAAAGGGTAAAATGGTTTATGGAGGTCAAGTTACATCTGGGTATTGTTTTGCCAAGTTAAATTGCATCATTACATCTGACTCTGCATATTGCTTTGCATCAATACTTGTAGAAGCATGAGTGGGAATATTAGTGCTAGGCAAAGAGACAAAGTGTGGAGCTACCTATACTGTGTAGACAAACACTGAGCATATAGGTACTAACCCTCTAAAATTCCTTTTAACCTCGACAGAATTGTCCCTGGTCGTATAGGGAGTATTATAGGCATGTATATAAAGACCTGTACCTTGCATATCTTTAATTTTCACAGTGATTCCATGGTCCAAAAGAGCAGAAATCTAACTATATTCTGTGTATGTGTTGCTCTTGTGGCCACTCATTGAAAGGTACTGGATATTTGTGAGCAAAGATGCAAAGCTGAATGGTACTTTCCGATTATCACACTACAGAAAGATACCAATAGGGACATTCTAATACAGTATATTGTTGCTAAAAAGAAAACTAAATATCAGACATGACAGGGGGCATGATATGTTCTAGGAACATAAGAAAAGGAGGGAACACTGAGCTGCTATATTTGATTGAAATGGCACCCAAATAGTCTCTGATTATGATCAAGACTATGCTGCAATGCTGACTGGCTGTGGAGCTACTCCAAGTAAAAATGTTCCTGTATAGGAAATGCAGATGTTTGTGTATGTAGCCAACTGTAAATCTTGACATTTGGTTCTGAAACCACTTTCTTTGGCTTTTTTGACTGCTTTCATCAGTTCTGCATTTTTCTTTCACGTCTTCACTGCAGGCATCACGTCTCCCCCTCGCGCCTTCCCCCTTTGTTTGTACTTTTTAGGTTGAGGTTTCTTTGTCTGTTGCTTGAGCAATTTGATTATTTTACTGAAATGATATTATATTGGTTCCAGCTGCACTCTGGCAGTACTCAGTGGGTATTATGCTATTGTGTAACAGAAATCAGGAGAAACAAGGTATGTGGAGGGGGGAAAGCTTAGGTTCCTTTCTTCCTTGGGGAGTGACTGTCCAATGTTTGTGTGTTGACCTTGAGCAATAGCATGTGTTCCAAATACTGCAGATAATAAATAATTGACATCAAGATTGCTTGTTTAAATGGGGTTGTTGTCTGCTGCCCTTGGTGGACTTGAAGTTATTCATTTTAGCCTTTTGCTGACATAACTACCCCTGTCTGCCTTGTTGGAAGCTAATGCAGTAAATCATAAACAACTTAAAAGGGAGATGAAGCCAATCTTATGTGTCCATTCCTGGCAAGTGGAGTTGAGCAAATGGAACTGGAGACAGGTTCTGGCTGGAAGCTCTGTGTTGTGATGTTTGGCTTCGTGACTGCTTGGCAGTTTTGAAACCCCAAGTAATGGGAAATGACGTGCAGGGAGAAATAAGTGTCTTGGATGCAGCTTCTTTATCCACAGTGTTATGTCTTTCCATGTACTGTCCTAAAGTAGCAATTTGGCTTTAACATAAACCTAAACTTACAGAGCTCTGGTGTTGCTTTTAATATTTAAGTTAATGAAACAGCTGGAAAAATTGCAAAACAGGAGGAAATAGGTCACTAATCCTGAGAAATATTTATTTCAATGTATGCACTTATAAAGGCAGCCAATCTATGAAACCATACAGCAAAGTGTTTAAATAGACAAATGTATATCTTTATGAGAAGCCAGGACTCTCTTCTTAAGGTTCAGGTTTATAGGAAATATGTGATTTTTCAGGTTCTGATCCTTTGAGGTTTGCAAGCCAAATAACCTTAGATAATGCAATTTCACAGATAATTTCAAAGCTTTTTATGTGACTGTACACTTGGGAAGCGCATTGCATAGTGGCACTGGTATGCAAATGGGAAGTTTGAGGGTTACACAGGTGAAATGACTTGCTCAGTGGATCCTACAAGTCATTCCAAATCCTTGCTCTCACTCTGTCACTCACTCCCTACAAACTCCCAGGATAAGCACTCTCTGAACATTTCCCTCAAGGCTGTCTAGTTTAATCACGTTCATGTGCTTCCTTGATGTTATTTCAGTGCCAGCAGCTATTATCTGTCAGGTTTGACAGGAATAAAAAGAAGTCTTATGCTGGACATCAGAGAAGAGATGCAGCCAGGATGTGTGACTGGGCCGATTGAGCACATAGTCCAAAAGCATTCAGAATACTTCAGGCATCCCTGTTTTTCACAGTGTATTGACTTTCATATTGAGCTGTGCCAGCTCCAATATGAAGTATCAGTTATCTTTGAACAGTAAGTAAGAGCTTTACTTTATTTTCTCAGGCTGCTTCATCAGCTTATTTCTGTATTTCTAAATCTATAGAGACCTATTGAATTTGCCTCAGAAACAGTAGGAAACTGTGAATAACAATGCTATAATCCCCTAACTCACTATTTATAGAAATTCTGAGTATTTTCCTGACAAGCTCAGCATCTCTCTAAAGCTTAAACCATGTTAAAGACTGGTGCTATACCTTCTCACAGTGACGGATGTGTTACATCTCCAGGGGCCAGGAGAAGCCACGATGCCAGCAGGAATGTGAGGGATCAATGGCCCGCTGTGTCCTCCCGTGCTTCATTAGAAATCGATGCATAAAATGGAAAAATCAATAATTGGCACAAGTTTTCAGCCATAGCAACAAAAGTGTTTCTTTCTGTGCCTGCCTGCTGAGTTGGTTAATATTAAGGGTTAGAGACAGTGCCAATACCGAAGCATAGAGGAGGCAAATTCAAAGATATTTAGAGTTTCAATTATCTCTCAGTCATCTTGTGTGGAGCCTCTGAACTCTGCAGGTTACCTGGACAAAAGCTGCTAATCCCAGAATGGATCACTGCCAGCATGAGAAATGAAGCTGTACAAAGCATGCTGCTGTAATAAGCCCAGTAAATTGTATGGTAAGATAAAAATACAAGGAATGTGCTATAATCAGTGAAGCCTATAGAAGGTTTTGAGGGTTATATTCTGTTGTGGAACAGTTTAGTTTGAACAATATTCTGTTCCAATACAGAGGGCTTCAGTTTTGATGAGTTTTTGTGAATTGTCACATTACTGCCTAGTTGTCAGAGTTAATGTCCCAGTGACTAAACATGATACCTGTAAATCTTCTGTTCCTTTCTAGTTCTAGTACAGTACATAGGATTAGCCCCTTTGTCCATCACTTTTCACCACGTAGTTTGTATAAAAAGAAGAATCCTATTTTCTCTCTGAAACTGTTGCTTCTACCTTTTCTGTGTAGACAGTGATGATATTCAGAACAGAGAGGTTTTAACTAAGTGAGGGCAGCTGGCCACTACCAGTGGTTAGTGCTGGAGAAGTATTGGAGTGTCACTTGTGCAACCTGAACAAGTTCAACTGCGCTTGATTTTAGAGGGGAGACTGGTGTATGGTTTAATTGCACATATCACTCATTAGATGTGCTTCTTTCCCATTAGAATTGAAAATGTGGCAGAACATGGATTCCAGTGGTTCTTGCATATTTATAAATTGTCATTTCAGGGTTCCTATTTGAATGTAATATGTGGACTCTATCAAATTTACTGTCTTCTTTCTGTTAACTTCTCTGTTTTGATGAGTCTGCCACTTTCTGGTATTGGGTAACCATTTAGATTGATGTGAAACTAATCCAGACCAGAAACCTCTTCTACATCATCAGAAAACTCAAGTTTCACATATATATATATAAATATAAGCTTACTTAAAAATCCTTGAAAAAATCTAATTGACAGTTTGTTTCTTCATAAGATGCTAATGCTCCCCTATTAGAACAGGAAAAAGGAAAGTGATTTCTTTTGAAGGACAGCTCTCTGACCTTAGAGCCCTTTTACTCTCCCATACATCAGTTTTTGACAGGGCCTGCTTATTGTGATCTGTCACATCAAAGGACTGCTATAGGTTTGTCGAAAGGTTGCTGCACTTTGTATTCAGGCTCGTTACTGTCTCCCTTTTCTT